GCATCTTTAGAATTCATTAAGTTCCATGGCAAGAAGCTACACAGCTTATATAAGTAATTTCTCTCACCAAATACAGTCAGTGCATTTATGAATCAAGATCATCCACAACAACCTATAAAATAAGAGATAAGAGTAAAACTGACCTTTTCTTACCCTCGCAATTTTCCAGCAAAAGCATTCTCTACAAAAGCTGAAAAGGGGCATACCAGAAAGTGTGAAACAGGCAGTAAGAGCATATTGCAAAAGTTATTTCATCCATTGGCTATGAATTTAATTCAGCATCTCCTTCAACAAGAAACAAAAATTACACCTCTGAAAGGGTGAAAAACAACCTCTTTCAGTAAACTTACAAAATTTCCCTTCAGTATAAAAATGGTGAGACATGCGCTTTTGCCAATGGCTACTCTTCAGCATGTCTCACAAATCTCACCTCCCCCGTTAACACTATGTTACAGTCATTGTTGAACCTACTTAAGCCTGCAATCCCCTTTCCACTGCAATGCTATCAACTCAGACTAAATAATGCCCAATACTAAAGAATGATAGAGATGGAATCTTCTAATAATGAGGCAAAAATGTTGATGTATTCACCAAATATACCTAGACAACTCCAATGATTTATTCTACAACTCTTCTGTAGAAGAGAAGATACGCAGCTGACGTCTTTATCTTCTCCTGGCTGATGGGAGAAACATGGCTGTCATCAAAATTGTACCACTGGTCACCTCCATGCTACAATAGATAAAGAATTATTAGAGTACTCAAGCAGAGCCAATAAATTACCATGCATGCAGGCAATCATTTGCTCACAGACATACATGGGAAATTAAGGGAAAGGAAAACCATGATAGATGAAGGATAGATCTATACTTACATGGACAAATGCAGTGTAATGGCCACCTCCCATACCTCCATAGTGATTACTAACAGCATAAAGCATGTAGCGGTTTGATAACTGACTGTTCTTGTGGGGAATGTAACTTGACAAATCAAGACTATCAACAGGGAAGTCAACATATGTCTCTAACTTGTTCTTCAGAAACCGGCTATATGAGAATCTTTTTAAATGGATAACCAGAATCTCTGGCAGTCTCCAAAGATCTAACTTTTTAATGGCTTGACGTGGCTCTTTGCAGCCTGGACAGTACCTAAATTTACAACAAAAAAGAACACAAGTTAGAAAGACAAGGGGCCACACATCAACAAATAAAATGCAATGATTTTTTGTTTTTAATTGGCATATACAAAATAGACACTGGAAGCCAAAAGCATTAAAATGGAAGCAGGCTGAAAGAAAAGTCTGAGAAACACAAGAATGAAAGTAACAATGATGGAGAAGTGTACTTAAATTAGTTAGAAAATGCATCTACAATTTCTTCAGTAGAGGGAAACTCTTCATTGAAAGAACAATGATGACAGTGAACTCTTCAGTATCATAAGTACCATAAGATGTATTTAAGAGCATAAAAGGAAATGGACAACTAACAAATCCAGAGTTTTCCATAGGACATACCCAAATGGCTAGTTCTGCACCAAGAGGCAAAACAGAAAAGGGAATGTTGCAAGTATAAAAAAATGAACAAAACCAGAAAGAACTCACTAATTGCTTAATACTGCCCCAATGCATAATACGAAACAATGTGTGGAAAATATTCTTAAACTGAATTTGAAAGAATACTTATGCAAACACTGACCACATGTCTTCTGGTCCAAGGGGCTCCTCCATCAAGAATGCTTTGAGACATTTATACAGAGAAACAGACTCCTGAGGTCTCTTCGCAAAAGAGCCAGACTTGAAAATCTGTGGAAAGGAGCTAAGAAGGCCTGTATCATACTGTTGAACATGTTTTTCTTGCCAACATACAAGTACATTCAATTGGCTAGGAGCTCCTGTCACTTCTACCAGCTCATTCATAACTATCTTTGATTCCCTTACTGCTCCCTTCTCATCAGTCAAGTAAAACTGTAATGCAGCATCAGCATTTGATTCAACCCAATTTCCACCAGAGGTATTCACAAACCCATTCGAAACAGAAGTTCCTGCATTCTCCTTTTCTGAAATGCCTTCAATAGCAGTGCCCTCAGAGGCATTGCAGTCATCCAACACATCTTTAACAGGCAGTCCAAAAGGACTTAACAATTTCAGATAGAGACTGTGGATGTCAGATCCATTACAATTAGAAAGCCTTGCAACAAGAGGAACTCCAAATGCCTTCCAACTTGTAGTCCCAAGCATACACTGCCTGAAAAATATGCAATTAAGTTATAAAACTTGAATTATAAGAAAAATAATACCAGTACTACTTGGCAAAGCATGGCTAGAGAAAAAGAATGTTATTGATCAAACTTTTCACCTTGTGAGCCCATTTAGACAGAATATGATTAAAATGAATGAAGGATCAGACACTAAATGAAAAGAATGAATGAGATATTTCGTGAATAGTTCGAGTAATAATGTAAGTATGTGTATGTAACTATCCGGACTAATTGCATTGCGAACAACCAATAGCAATAATCTCATGCTTGATATAGGGTTATAAGAACAGCAGTATTCTCTAATGAAAATAATAGAAATAATGAGTTAGCATGAATTTATTGATATTGATTTTCATCAGAACACAACAAGATTTCCCAGCTAAAATTCAACTAAAGGAACAGATGCAAAAGTTTGAAGCAGTCAGGCAAAGATTTTGACCTATAAATTAATTCGATGGCAACCATTACGGCGATAATGATTTGCCTACAAACACTTGTTATGCCTTGCTCATTCACATTTGTATGTAGTGTAAATTACTATTTTCTCTAGAGATGGATCATGAAGAAACATTACATTTAATGTATTTTATATTATTTGAACTAACCAGCTCACACAAGAAGGAAAAATGCATTCTGATCAACTTCATGAAGGACAAATTTAAAGCAAGCAAAAAGAAAAACCAAAAAGAAACATACATGTCAAACATGTTATCAAGATAGGAATTTAACAAACTTACTCTTCCATTTGCTGATGCATAAATATGACCAAAGGAACATTATTACTGTCTTTAGTTAATCGATAAGCAACAAGTTGGTCATCATCTCTGATTAAGGATAAAGAATCAGCAGGGTCTTCTAGATAACGTATAATACGGCTGTTGTATATCTGCATAGAAGTTCATAGCAAATTACACTAAAAATGACCATCCATAACCAGTAACAAAGATATAGAAAACGACCAGAATATTGTGAATGATTTTAAACAGCCAAATATACCTCAGCCACCAATAGAGTCTCATCAACCCCTAAAGAACATGCAACACTGAGAGTCTGGATAAGATCTTCAAATTTTCCAGACTCGGGGACGGTGATGGTATGTGAAGTAGGTTTGGCAGTTCCATCAGTACTGATAACTGTTAAAGTCATTGTCCGCATTGTTGTTGATGGCAAAGGTAATGACAGGTACATGAATGGATCAAATGTTACAGAGACCTTTTTGCAAACAGGGCAAACTAACGTTGATTTAAATTGACCCTGTAGTGACATACAGTAGAGATGCAGTCAGGAAAGAAACTCATATTGTTGCTACTGAAAAATGAAATGAAAGTCAACATGATTACTCCAAAAACAAAAAATGCTTACTTGACACACATCAACAATGATGGAGTCATTGCGAGCCAGATGATTTTTCCAATATTCATCAGCAACTTCTTCATCGGGTCGACCCTCTTCATCCTTGACTTCCACGTACGGTTTTCTTTTCACCCGATTGAGATCCTCATGAAGTCCATCCAACAAAAATGCAAGTAGCTCCTAAGATATAAGGGTTATCACATTCAGAATATATCATGACATATTATGGCCTTGCAACCAACCACCTGAAGAAAAAGAAAAGGCCAAGCTAAAGTCTGAGAGCAAGAAAACTTTCACTAACTTGGGAATCATGCTGATTAAAGCCACTAAATTGAGGAGCAAAACGAGCAAGTTTTGACTTAAATGTTCTTGGTGGTACAGGGGTTGCTCCAGGGGCCCATAGCTTCCTTAACAAATCTCCAAAGGCTGAAGCAATCTCACCCTGCAAAAGAAGTCCAAGCTTTTTAGTGGATGCAACTGAGAATTAAAATTTGAACATGAATACAGTAAAATTAGTGTAAATGTAACGTACATCCATGCCCAATGGGTTTTCATGATTTATTTCTCTACCATAATCTCCAAGAAAATAGTCAATGATCTTTGGTGTATGTGCTAAGCACTGAATGGCACTGTTCATGAAACAAGTATTTCCAAGATTTTGTAATCCTGTTAATCCCAAAGATCCTGCTTCTCCAGATTTTCCACAGATTGCTAAAGAATTATTACGGAACAGATTTGAGTTTGCACTGCCAGAGCTACCATTCATCAAAGGCAAAGCACCTGAAGAAGCATTTTGAGCATGGTTCATTAATGTTTCATCCTTTTTCCCTTCTTTACATTTCCCTTCTTTCAACTTCAAAGAATCTGACAACCCATAAACTTGCAACTCCAGGAGAACCTAGAGATAAATGAAAGTGGAAAACATGAGATCCGCAACCCAATATAATTAGTAAGTGACACAGTACAATGACTGATGATTCATAAGGAAGTCCTTTAAAAGAATATTACACTCAACATTTAAGTTAGACAACCATATCAACCAAAAGGTATAACAAGAATCTGTCCCCTTCAGTTAAAAACATGTGTGCTTTGCCACAATGCAGTTCACAAATGAAAATTTGCACCTTCAAGATGCATTCTCTTGTTTATCCATAAAAAGTGGATGCTTTTTTTTCTTCTTTTTTTTTTCCCTTTTTTTTTCTGGATACAATGGACACATTGAGGTAAATGGTTGATATATTGTAAGATACATTAATTCATCACTTTTTAGGTTCAAGTTTGGGCTGACACAACTTCTACCAGTGTAACAGAATAAAATGACCCCCATGCATTAAAGGCACAGAAAACTACCCTACAAGTATCATGATTGTAAAGTGTGCCTAGCAGATAATTTACCCTAACCTAATTGGGATGACCAGAAAACATGTAACCCTTATATTATATAGTTCCCAGAAAATTATCATGTAATACAGTCTCTCACTAGTGGACAAGCTGTATTTTGATGCCTTTACCTGTATTTGTCAACAGAAGAGATTTTTTCAATGCAAGTTTAATGTCTTAGTGGGAGAAATGAAACATATAGTTCAACATCACAATACAACATCTTGTGAAAAAATCTACCTCTTACCTCCTGATCTGCTTGACGCTGACAATCTTTTAGTAAACTATTTCTATCATGTACGAAAAATAAGGTTGTCTGCCCAGAAAAGTCCCAGATACGCAACTGTTCAATATCAGAAGTTAGAAAAATATCCATTTCAGAACAAAAAGGTATCATTTGCGATGTAAGATTAATTCTACCTGCCCAGATTCCACACTGAAAATTTTGCAGGCTCTTTTGAAGAGCTCGATTGCATTGTCCTAAAAAAAAAAAAAAAGACATCATTTCAGCTGTGAGATGAAAGAGAACCGCAACAAGCAAGCTGAGTAATGATTAAAGAGTGTAAAAACACAAATTACCAGCTGCAAGATCAATTAGGCTTGCAACATGAGAATAACATAAAGGAAATTGGAAAATTAGAAGATTCTTGCATTGGCTAATTAGACATAGAAAAACCCATAGCCAACTTAGTCCCTATCTATTCTTGAAAAACCAGAATTTGAGCGATTGTTTAAGTACTGACCTTTTTGCTAATTTTTATTGCCAGTGAATTTGTTTCCCTCAGAACAGAAAGCCTAAGCTGTAAGGGATAGACATCTCCCATGTCATCCTCAGCAGCTGAAAAGCTTTTGCCACTCTTGGTTGCAACTTTAGCATCACTGTGCCTACATTAAAAGTGTAAAAGTAGTGTTTATGAAACAACTCCCATGTTTTAGGTCACATGAACACATCAAACTGATTTATCAAACACTCTTGTCAAATAGCATTGTGATCCATCATCAGTTTAGATTTGTTGCCTTGTATTCAAGTTTGGCCTCCTCGCCTGTTCCTGATTCCTTTTATGTTGGAATCATTAACAAATATCATAAAATACAGGTCCTCATGCATATTCTCAAATATCTTAAGGTTGAAATTGTTACAATAAGTTTTGGAGGAAAAGGAAATGCCAATGCGTTAACTGTTGAATAGTATTTTATCACAATTATATTTGATAAGTCAATCTCATATTCATGAGAAATAAAGAGTAAGCAGAGATAAATAAATGTGTGCAATTATAGTGCATCTAAACTTAATAGATATCAAGCATGGTAGATCTTCAGCAATTGGAATGCAAAAAGGACCATTGAAAAGATAATGAAAAGCATGTCTCCCAATAGGGCTTAACCACATTACCACAACATACAATGCAGTGGTAACTATTCAGAGGACTGAAAATTAGTGCCAACTTAAGTCAAAATGAAATTACATTTATTATTTATTCATGCATCACATCCCTGGAGCCATTATATAGGGGAAAGGAATTTAGGCAGGCAAGATTGACCAAAGTCAATAAATTATAGTTAATTTTTATCCATGTATTAAAATACATTTAAGAATATTGAAACCAATAATGCTAAGTGCTGAAGATCACCAAAACAGTAGGAAGCAGTAATCCAAATGACAAAAGAAGTGTAAGAATGCACTATCATCCCTAGAGCTTACTTTTTCCATAAAGAAAATACAACTTGTTCGAACAAGAGCCAAGATTGAGGTTGTTAATATTCCATCTGAACCATTCTCAAATTTCAAGAATGTTAGCTCATCAAACATGAATAGGCAATTAAAGAATATCTTAAGCTTGAACTTTCCAACATAAGGTACCTGTTAAGGAGGCCGAAACATGTGGCCTACTGAAATTGGGAGACTGCCCCACATAACTGGAGTAGGGGCTGCCAAAATAATCAGTTGACCTGTTTCGGCCTGAAAGTAGAGGCCTAAGTAGCATTTTCAATTGGTATGTTCAAACTAGTTCACCTTAATGTCATCTAGGGCAAAACAGGCCTTTAAATTTAATAGACTATAATTTAAACTCTTGACCAGATTGTAACCTAATAACCAAACAGTAAAATAGAACCAGAGGTGGAAACTATTCCAATCAAATGAACCGAAATCTAAGATGAAGCCAGTACCACTTTAGACTAAATCAAACACAGGAAAAACCAATTCTAAATACTCACCATTTAAGTGCCTGCAACCACATATCTGCAGGAACCAATGCGTAATCCAGACCAGAGACGCCCACTTCACCATTCTCCCCATTCCGCAAAGATTCCTCAACCCTCCTCAGATTGAATGCAAGATCCGAATTAAATATATTGTTGATCAACTTCATTGGACCCGCATATGAAGTCCCTGGCGTCAAAGTATACAAAACCCCAATTTTCCCATCGGATTCACTTGATGTCGAATCTTGCGCATCCTTCCACCACCTGAAAACCAAATTCGAATCCCAATCATAACTCACTTTCTCTCCCCTAGATTCGATCAATTCCACACCAATGCGGCCCAAACGATATCAAATAGAGTTTATTAAAGCCAGAGAAGGCAGAAAACAGCATGGATCCCGCAATTTGCAAACATCAAGCCAAATTCACAAAACATAAAAACGACATACGTCTCATCCTTCGGTAAATTTAAAGTAGTGCCTAGATTTGTGAATTTGAATAGGAAGAACAATGATTTGAAACGAGTTGGAAGAGAAGAGACCTGAGAGGAACGAAGTAGACTCGCTGGTCGTCGCCGGAGTCAAGCCGCGGATTTGAATCGGGGAAATCTTCCGGTGAACCCACCATTACAGCAGAGAAAGTGAAGAACGCTTAAAAGTGGAAGGAGACAATGCAGATCATCTGCTCTGGATTTGCAGAGACAAACAAATAGTGATTTCTCTGTGAAGAGGATTCAGATTCAGGGAGGGAAAAATAAATATAGTGCCTGTATATATTTTTTTTTTTATTTGGAAAGTAGAGATTTAGGACCAACAAAAAAAAATGAAAAATGAAAAAGAAATATCCGTTATCCCTATGAATGCAAATGAAAACAAAAATGTAAATAAGAATATCTCTTTTTATGATTCCAAGTTCCAACCACAAAACATAATTAAACCAATAAATATATGTAATATTACGTATAAAACTTTAAATAAAACTAATATTTTAAATAATTAAATGGTAATCTTGTTTTATTAGAAGGAATAGATTTTGAATTCAAATTGCATAACATACAGTTGAAATGAAATAAAAAAATAAAAAATAATTAATTCTCATTGTGTAACTAAAATAAAAAAATTTTAAATAAAAATAATTAATTATATAATAATACATTATATTATAAATTTACAATATCACAATACCATTTAATATTGTAACTATAACAATTTCATTTTTTTTTTTTAGTAATCCAAAATTTAAAATCAAGATCAAATTTCTAACTTGAATGAATTTTGTAGAAAAACTTGACACCAAATTTTAGTTTACTCCTGCGATTTCTAGGATCCTGAGGAAGTTAAAAATTAGATATTGATGAGGTTTCTTAACAGAATTAAATGTTTGATAAGTCTGAATCCAATTAAATACAAAAATAATATAGTGACGATAAGTGTGAATCAAATCAAATATAAAAATATTATATTTATAATATCTTAAGTCATTATAAACTTACAATGTAAGATTATTGAACCTAAAAAAAAAATGTGAATCATTACCAACAGGGAACACACTGCAGGAATTTGCTAAGAAAGAAGCTGAATTAAATTGACCAATTTTGAAATTGTAATTTGTTCCGTCACTGTACTTATATAAGTGTTTCAAAAAACAAAAAAAAAAAGCTGAATTAAATTACATCTATGATGTGCTACAAGCTAATCTAACTAGCAGTCTTGGCAGGTAGGAAATTCAATGGTAAGCTAAGCCAGTATCATAAACGCGACCCCCAGGCCCAGGGTATGAAGCTCTAGGCTCAAACGAATTTTCTCAGGCAGCACCAGGAAATCGTGCCATATCTATATAGGAATCAGAATGGTCTGAGTCGTAGAGTCAATTTGCATCCCCACCCATGGCAGAACCTGCAGCACACTAAAACCATGAGGGTTACCTGGGCCCATTTTGATGTTAAAGTAGTGATCCACAATGGTTTGCTGGTACTTGTTGGCATGCATGAGATTCCTTTCGGAGCAATTCATTGTTATAGATTTTAATTAATATATATGATTATATACATATATATCATGCGTTTTCTGTTTTCAAGAAAGAATATATGCGTTTTGTCTTAATGAAACAATCAAAAAGAATTCATGCGTTTTTGTTTTTCAAATGGGTTTAAACCAATAGATCATTACATCAATTTCAAATCTTGATTGGTAACAGAAAACATTATTGCATTTAGCTGCATCAGTTTCAAATCTTTTTGATAATCGAATTCATTTCAAATTTTAACATTTTGTCTATTTCGGTTACATTTTGAAACCCTATAACAGCCAAAATATCTACCAAAGACTGATACAATTTTTATAATTTGCATTCTTATTTCACAAACACGGTATAAAAACTCTCTTTGGGTAAGGAAAAGGTGGTGGGGTGGAGCTTTATTTACAAGAGTGCAGTACTTGTAAAGATACAATAAGAAAATAAAACAATGTTAAGCTGTTGTATCCCGAGATTCCGAGAGTGACGTGATCATAAAAAATTATTGCACCAATAGCACAAAACGTCCTAAAAAAAGTGATTGATTCATGCTTCAGCTTAAACTCCTCATACTTTCGATGACATCCTTCCACCTTTCATCTTTAATTAATTGTTTTTGCTAATCTTTTTGTCTTTTTTTTTTTTTTTTTACGAGAAATAACATTCATCTCTACCATTTGCATGCTGTGCTCTAAGTGCTGCTAGCTGCCCCTGATACTGAGCATTGATTGCATTTATTTTCTGAAATAATTCAACAGGAACACAAAGATTATCACAATGAGGGGGAAATTGGAAGATAAGGCTCAAAATGGATAACATAATTTAATTTTACTTTGTATCAGGACTGGCTGTTAACAAAATGCCAAGACCCCAGATGATCTTCAACTTGATGTCTGCTTGGAATTATATTTAAACCATCCAAAGCTACCCTAAACCCCTTCCTTCTAATTGTGACTACTCATGTTGGACGTGTGTCCAAGAAGAAGAGTTTGAGGGCCCAGAGCAAGGTTGAAGAACAACCTTCCCTAAATTCATCCCATAACAATCCTATTCTTCGACGATTAAAAATTTAAAATATAAATCACAAAGAAAAATTTTTGGAAAATCTTATGATTCCTAAGCCATTCAACCTAGGCCACTCATGCGTCGAGGTATAATTAGTTTGGTTGTTCCGTATCTGCAGACAGAAACTGCCATGCCCAAAGGAACTGTCTGCACTGCAGTCAGACATACAACTAAATTTTATCTTCAAGAAGTTGTAACCGCAACAACAGAGTAAAGAGCATTGACTTTCAGGATGCAACTTACTCTTTTAGTAAAATTATGTTTATCATGTCAGCTTGATTTCATAAAGTTGGCTAAATTATTAAGAAGTGTGAAGTAGGCTAAATTATTAAGATGCGTGGTGAACTCACTAACTAGTATGGTAAAAGAAAAAGCTTACATACTGACCTTCCTGTGTCTAGCATTTTCTGCATCCTCAGCATCATTTTGTTCCTTAGCCAGCTTCATTATGTCATCCAGGAATTTCTTCTCAAGACCTTCAAAAGTTTTTGATGAATCGTGAATGGTTATCCTTGTATCCAACTCCCATTTCTTCTTCAGGAGGTCAAGATCTATGATCAGTGTTTTGTTTCTTACGATCTAGTCGCTGGCCCTGAAAATAAGTTCTTGATCTATCTGCCCCCTGGCCTACAACATAACAAACATGAAACCTACAGAATGTCAAAGACATTTTAAAATCATAAAAAATATTAAAACTTATATCTGAGCATAGAAAAATGTCATAAAACATGTAAAAATCAAAAAGACATGGTGCAATAGTTAATTCTACCAATGAGATAAACTAGCACATATATATATACACAAAGATTGATGGGAATGTGTACTTCTAACATTGAATAAATCACAATGCTCTTTATTCAAAAGAAGAAGAAAAGAAAAAGGAAAAAAAGAATCTAACATTTCTGTCACCACACTTTGGCTGTAAAATTCTAGAATCTAAACTCATAATATTGAAAGAAGAGAAGTGGATCCCTGTTAAGAAACACTATAAGAAAGTATTTTCCCCGTTCTGGCATCAAAAGAAAAGGGAAATGCCAGGTGCATATTCAGTTCCCTTAAACATGTGAAACAACATAATAAACTGCACATATCCAAAATACAAATTCCAAAAGGTTTACAAATACAAGTGAAGATAAGAAACTAGTAATAACCTAAAATCCAAAATTGTAACATTTTATGCAATCTAGACTTCAACCTTACTAATTCCTAGGTACTGAAAAGAACCCTTCACAACCCAGGTGCCTTAACTTTAAGGCTAAACTACTAAACTAGAGTGATCTACGTGGGTAATCAGCAGGTTCTTTATATGATCAATCCCTAGTACAGATAAAGAGGAGAGAGATAGAAAGGCTTACCTTCATTGTAGAACTGTGCTGCCATTGGATTTGACACTTTTGACCCATCTCCGTTGCCACTCCATGTTTGAAGATCCATATGGTTGATCTCTCTGAGGAGTAAATGCCTCTAGTTGTCCTTGAAAAGGAGTAGCATTTTGTCCAATAATCTACCCAAGCATTTGCTGCTGCATCTGAGGAGACATATGCATTGGCACCCAAATCAGGATATTGTTCATGCCATCGCATGTTTATATTATACCTAGAATGCGTGAAAGCCACCACAAGCAAATTAATACCGTAAGTTAAAAGATAACAGAGAAAACAAATCTCACCTGTACATAAACACATTTCCATAAAAGAAAAGAAAAATGAAATTCATTAGAAATTAACACAATTTTCTTTGCAGGACAGGCCTTGAATTGGTGCATCTGAAGAGGCTATATTTTAAACTTAAAACTATACATTCAAATCATGACATCCAGAATATCATTTTACAAGAAAAAATAAAAGTACAAAGCCACTAAACTACCCACATAAATCTGTAACAATAAGAAAGACGTTGTTATTAGACATCTCAATCAGGCTAAAACTTCATTCTGAAACAAAAATCAAGCATTATAAAACACCATAAGCCACCTTTTTTAAATTAAGTGGATAAACAGTACACCTTAAGTCCCTAAGTTTTTCTTGTTATCATAAACAAGGAATCAAGCAATACATGTCAAATGCTACTACCATTACCTTCTAAAAATGATAAAATACCGGACAAATAAACAATTCTAATTCCAAATCATCATCATAGTAACTCAATTCCACAAAACCCAGCAAAATCCTTTGCTGATAAACTCATCTCCCCATGACTCACGAATTAACAAATCTACAATAATTGTGTAAGTGGATCCCTACTCAATTAAAAATGCCCAAAAAAGGGAGGAAAAAAACTCAAATATGAAGTACCACATAACATCAAGACTCAGACAAACTGCGAGTATATTTTCTTACCTTGCAATGGACACCCATGAGCTGATACCATATTAGCAGAAGAATGCATGTGCTTCGGTATATGCAATGCAAAAATATGCATGTCACTGTCTAACAGGAATTTGAGCAAACACTTGGTGGGCAAACATGAACTGAACAATCAAATACATTGAGAAGCTAAGAATTGCATCAGATATACAATTAGATACCCTGTTGATTCCGAAGCAAACCAACCCACAAAATTATTTTCTCAAGGAAAATGGATTAAAATAAGAATCTAATCAACTAAAGGGTATTCTAACTTCTTCTTTTTTTTTTTAATTCAAGAAAATGTTTACCTTGCAATCAGAGATTCAGAAGCCAACTCTAACCTGATGACGTCTTCCAGCTTCAAAATGGGACGTTCGGTTTCCTGGTTTAATGAGTCGATTTAATTTTGGGATCTTCTTTGCCCTTTTTTTTTTGTAATTTTAATTGGGTTTTTATAATATAACTAGTAAATATTCTTATTAGTCATCAATTTTTATTTCTTTAATTATAAATTTATATTAAAAATAAAAATTTATTTATTTAACATCAATACTAATAATATATTTTGAGTAAAAATTTT